GAGAGCATTTTTATAAAGGATAAGATTTTAGGATAGAAAGTGATTCGTGTCTCTCACAGTAGAGGGGAAAGAGCTTGGAATAAATAGTTTGGCTCTGAACAGTGACCTAATTGCTCTGAATCTAAATACAATGGAAGGGAGTATATAAACTAAAGTAATTGCTTAGCTTGAAGGCTGACAGAGCCTCCCCAGGCATTGCATCTGAATTAATTTTAAGCCAGTAGAGCAATAGATAATTGTATATTACATAATCTAACATAGTCATATTAAATACAGAACTTCAGAGATTAGAATACATTTTTATGGAGTTTAAAGAATTCCTTCATATTCTTTTATGACTATGTGAATTGATTATGAAAAAAACCATGTAATTCAGATCGAACTTTAAATCTTCCTCATTTGAAATTTCAAAAGGTTTGAAAACAACTCTGTGAATATTTCAATTAGCCTCCTAAACTACTTTAAGCTGTCTTCAATTCCTCATAGAACAAAGCAGAGAACATGTAAATAGAGAATAAAATAAAACAAATTACTTTGGGATCACCTCTCATTCTGGATTCAGTAGCATCTTTTGTTCTTTCTCTCAAATCCTCAGTTAATATTAAGTTTCCACATATGCCAGTAGCTTTCTACTTCCTAATTCCCCACGAAACCTTTCCTTGCTGAGTTTGATCCACTAAGAAAAAATGAAAACAGTATTCTCTCTTTAGGCTTCTGAAGTAATCAGGCTAGGCTATTTTGTTGGTGAATTCTGTGGGGTTTTCTAGGATCAAGTATGCTTAATGTAATTTGTACTCCCTTATGTCTGAATAGCATAATTTTTGAGCCTGGTATTACCGTCTAGAAACCAGAATTAGTTGAGGAGCTAAGAGTCCAACAACTCAATTTTAATACATTTCATGAATACTGTCTTTTTTTTTTTTTAAAGATTTCTTTTTTTTTTTTAATTTTTTTTTAAGGTTTTTTTTATTTATTTCTAGAGAGAGAGAGAGCGTGAGCAGGGGAGGGTCAGAGAGAGAGGGAGTCACAGACTGAAACAGGCTCCAGTCTCTGAGCTGGCAGTCAGCACAGAGCCCGACGCGGGGCTCGAACCCAGGAACCGTGAGATCATGACCTAAGCGAAAGTCGGACGCTTAACCGACTAAGCCACCCAGGCGCCCCGCATCATGAATACTGTCGATTAATTTTTATTACTTGTTACTACCTTAAGAACTTTTCATTTGCCAATTCCTGTTTCCGGGAATAATCCATTCCTAGATCTCACCTCACTGGCTCCTTTTGCCATTCAGGTCTCCATCCAAAGGTCACCTCCTCAGGAAGTCCTCCTTGGTTGTTCTCACCTAAAGCAGCCCCTTCCAACATTATAACTCTACCGTGTTTTATTTTCTTCAAAGCTCTTGTTGCTTTCTGAAATTGTCTTGTATTACTGTTATTATCATCAGGGTTATCATATTATTATCCTCACAATAAGAGGAAACAAGTTGAGTTTTTCCCATATGCCTTATACAAATTATTGTATTTAATACAACATTTTAATGACAACTAACATTTAAGGAGTGCTTACAACTCACCAAATGCTGGATGAAGCATTTACTACCCTCGGCTAGGTCATTGTCCTCTCTGCTTGGACTGTTGCAGGGGCTTCCTAAGTGGCCTCGCTTTTCTTCTTTTAGCCTTTTAGAGTTCACTGCCCACATGGCAGCTAGTGATCTTTCTAAAACATAAGTCAGGTCCACCATGATCAGGTGTCAGCATCAGCATGCTTTTGGCCATCTTCGGGTCCCAACTAGCTTATAAGGTCTGGTGTGATCTGGCCCCTACAACCTCCCTGTCGGGTCTCTAACCTTTCCTGACCTCTGGCCACTAGCTCCAAATCATCCTTTGCCTAGAGTGCCATCCATCTGCACATGGTTTGGGTTTCATTTCTCTCAGATCTCTGCTGAAATGTCACTGCTCATGGAGGCCCTTTCACATGCCATGTGAAAAAGCAAGCGATCACTCTCCATCCCCTCCTGATACTTCATTTTCCGCCACTCACTACTGCCCAACATTGCATTACTCATTTCTGTGCTCTCAGCAAATATTTTTGAATGGTTACTGTGTCCTAGGCCCTGTTCTAGGCACTGGCTATATGAAATTAATACAGTGGATAGAGTCCCTGTTGATGTTGGAGATTTTAGGGGCAGGCATATGGTAGACTCAACAAATAGGTAAAATATATGCTATGTTGGATGCTTTGGGAAACTAAAGCAAGAGGAAAGGCTGGGTAGTGATACACAGTAGGGGGAGGAGTAAGTTTAAAATACAGCTGTTAGGGAGGCCTCAGTGAACAGTGAGCAGTGAGCCTTACAAAGTCTTGAAGGAGGTGAGGGAGTGAGCTATATGAGTGACTAGAGGGAAGTGTGTTCTGCACAGAACGAACATTGGGTTTGAAGGCTCTGGAGGAGGAGCAGTTGTAGCATGTTTGAAGAGCAGCAAGGACACCTGTCGTGGAGCAGAGTGAGCAAGTGGGAGAGAAGCTGTGGCCGGAGAAGTGACAGGGGTGCCAGCTGTAGCATTCACGGGCCTCACCCTGGGTCACTGAGCAGAGGAACAAGCTGAGCCAGACCCCTTGGGCCTTGTGTGCAAAACAGACTGTAAGGAAACAAGGGCTGAAGTAGAATACACTCTGCCCAGGAAAAATAGGAGTGGCTGGGGCCAGGCGGCAGGACAGAGATGAGAAATAATCATGGTCTGGATATGTTTGGAAGGTCAGTTCTACAGAATTTACTAAGAAATGAGAAATAGAGTAATCAGGAATGCCTCATTCCAGGGTTTTAAGTTCAGGCCCCTGGAACGATGGAGGTAGCAGTACTGAGACAGGGAGGCAGTGAGGAAACAGGCCATGAGCAGGACTCAGATGGCATTGTGGAGCCTTTGTGGGTATGAGAAAAAGGCTTCCCCTCTGGGCAGATGCAGTTGGAGCAAGTAGAACGGGCTGGATTTCATTCCCAACCCTCCTCAACAGGGCGTCTGTGCCAAACTGCAGGCAGTGGCATTAATCGGCTTAAGTTTGTGATGAACATCCAGTGAGATGCTAACTGGGCAGCTGGGTGAGAGTCTGGAGTTCAGGGAGACAGAGAGACTGCAGGTGCACAGCGCTTGTTACATGAGCATTCCTGGCTCTTTTATCTTTATTTTTATATGTCTTACATTGTATATTAGATATGCTTAATTAACTTTCCATGATCTCCATGGTTATGTAGGCTTGAAGTGCTCTATGTCTGTGTTTCCTGCTTCATTGTATTTGCACACCGAGCTCCATACCTGGTCCCTGAACACTTAACATGGTTGAATAGATAAATGAATCAAGAAGACCAGTACTTTATACTCATCCTGTGGGTTACATGGGATTGAGTGCATGGCCAGGTTTATACATCAATCTATATGTCTCACATCCCCATTCCCACTCTATGCCGAAAGGTTAAAGCCAGTTTTTCTAAAACCTCCAGCTTTTAATACTATTTACTACATGGTTACTGAAGGGACATTTAAATTCAATGTGGACTTTACATTTACCATGTTGCCTTGCTGCTAAATGATGGGAAAGCTTAAAATGAAAAAAAAAAAAAAAGCCTGGTTTAGATAACAAATTCTTCTCATAGCAACTTCTGAGACTCTGGTCTGTTCTTGAGGGGACTATTAATACTTCCCTTTTATATTTACTTTTGTTTGTTGGTGAGAATTCCATTTTCACTTTTTCTTTGGTACACTGAGGATAAGAATTCTATTTTTCTATCTTATGAAATGACACAAAGGGGCAACTTAATTGACCATTTCTGTTAATTTAAATCCAACACTAGGGAAGATAACTTCCATGGACCTCAGCATTTTTATTTAGAATGATCAGTGATGGCTTTGCATGAGATATAAGGTTTAAACTGGGCCATATATCAGTTATTTATTGCATATAGTAGCAGACCACTCCCAAATCCATTGGTTTGAAATAATAAATATTATTGCTCACAAGACTCTGGTTCAGCTAGTCTTGACTGGTCCCACTCATGTGTTAGGTAAGCACTGCTATTCATCTGGGTCGGGCTGTCTCACACATCTGAGGCTGTACACTGGTCTGGCATGGCTTATATGTCTGGAACATCTGGGCTCTCATCCTGAAATAAGCTGGACAGCATTTATTCAAATGGCAGTGGCAGGGTTCCAAGACCAAGACTAGAAATGCCCAAGACTTCCTGAGGCCTCAGCTTAGAACTGGCACAGCATAATTTCTGCCACATTCCACTGATCAAAGCATGGGATGGAGAAATAGACCACAATCATGATGGAGAAGATGCAAAGTCATGTTGGGGATCATGGACTTAGAGAGACCATAAATTGGAATCATTAATATAATGACTTGAAGGATAAATAGGGTTAGAAGGACGATGTGAGGAACCGGTGTGAACTTCCTCTGATCTAAAGAAAAATGTGGCTCAGGGGCCTGGGTGGCTCAGTTGTTAAGCATCTTACTTTGGCCTGGGTCATGATCTCATGGTTTGTGAATTTGGGTCCCACATTGGGTGAACTTGAGCCCCACTTTGGGTGAGCCCTGGTTCTCTCTCTCTCTCTCCCTCTGTCTCTCCTGAGATTCTCTCTCTCTCTGTCCCCACTCTGCCCCCTCTGCTCACTTGCACCCTCTCTCTCTCTCAAAAAAAAAAAAGAAAAAAAGAAAAGAAAAGAAAAGAAAACTTGACCCTTGACTGGCTTCCATCCTATCTCACTAATATCTGGAAAACACATGAAGCATAAACTTCTCCATTGACTTGTACGCATTGACACGTGAACGGTTCTTTCTCTCAGAAAAGAATATCTCATTGAACGCACATCTATAATTGTCTTGAGGAGCTTCCATGGAATACATTAAGTTGTTTTGCAAGGTAGCTGGCATATGGCCATATTTCTTGCACAGTTATCTTGATCATGTTGGCATTTCCATAAATAACAATTGTACCCTTCTCTTGTAGGATTATGCCCATATGTTGACCTGCATAACAGAAAGAGAAAAGTTTATTGTACCCATCAAAGCTAGAGGTGCACGAGCCATCCTAGATTTTCCTGACAAGCTGAATTTTTCCACTTGCCCTGTCAAATACAGCACGCAGAAGATTCTGCTGGTACGAAACATTGGCAACAAAGATGCTGTGTTTCACATCAAAACTCATAGGTATGCATTCCTTCAGTTCTTGGTTTTGATTGATTATAGCTAAATCGAGTCAGCACAAGTAATTTGCTGGAATAGCAGTCAGGGCAGAACTGCTTGTTACCATCTTCGGTTGCAAGGCTGGGAGACCTTACTAACATAGGGCAAACTTCTTCAGTCCAAGAGGAAACCCAAATTCAAGGTTAACATCCAACAATGGATGTTTTTCCTTAATGCTGATAAAAGTCTTTCTAATTTAGCATAGAGAAATCTATTAATAAACATATGTGTTTTGACGGGGAATATTATTACTGGCTGTATATCTGTTTTCTATTGCTAATGTAGCAAATTATTACAAACTTACCAGATTAAAGCAACAAATTTATTATCTGATATTTCAATTGACCAGAAACCTCACTGGATCAAAATTAAAGTGTGGGTGGGGCTGTGTTCTTTTCTGATAGCTCCAGGGAGAATCCATTTCTTTGCCCTTTCCAGCTTCCAGGGCCACCGACATTCCCTGGCTTGTGTGCCACATTCCTTGGCTGAAAAAAAAATGGGGTAAAGTGTAGTAGCCCCTTCATAGGATTGTTGTGAGGAATAAATGAATGGATAAATGTAACCTACTGGCATACAGTGGGCGCCTGGCTGGTTTGGTCTGTAGAGCACATGACTCTTGATCTCAGGGTCGTGAGTTCAAGCCCCATGCTGAGTATAGAGTTTACTTTGAAAATAAATAAATAAACTGCTGGTACATAGAAAGTGCTATGTAACAAATGATTGTTGTTGTTGTTGTTGTTTTCATCAGATGAACTACTGTCAGCGTGGTAGGCTGAATAATGACTCCCCAAGTATATCTAATGTCCTAATCCCTAGAACCTGTGACTATATAATGTTACATGGCAAAGGGTGATTTGGGCTGCAGATATCATTAAGGCTCCTAATCAGCTGACCTAAAAATGGAGGATATCCTGGATTATCTGGATGGGCCCAGTGTAATTACAAGGGTCCTTTATTTTTATTTATTTATTTATTTTTTTATTGTCACATTAGTTTCCACATCACACCCAGTGCTCATCCCCACAAGTGCCCCTCTCTGTGCCCATCCCCACATCCATCAGTCCTCAGTTTTTGTCCGCATTCAAGAGTCTCTCATGGTTTGCCTCTCTCCCTTTCCCCCACCATTTCCCCCCTTCTTCTCCCCCTTGTTCCTCAGTTAAGTTCCTCCTAATCCTCCTATACATGCAAACATATGATATTTGTCCTTCTCTGCCTGACTTATTTCGCTCAGCATAACACCCTCAAGGTCCATCCATGTTGCTACACATGGCCAGATTTCATTGTTTCTCATTGCCATGTAGTATTCCATGGTATAGATAAACCACATCTTCTTGATCCATTCATCTGTTGATGGACACTTAGGCTCTTTCCATGTTTTAGCTATTGTTGAGAGTACTGCTATGAACATTGGGGGTACATGTGCTCCTATGCATCAGCATTTCTGTATCCTACAAGGGTCCTTTAAAATAGAAGAGTGAGGCAGAAGAATTCAGAGAGATGAGAATTAAGCAGGACTCTACCTGCACTGACCTTGAGGATGAGAACACTGAGTCATAGACTTTGTACAACTTGCTCAAGAACACATAGCTAATAAGGGAAGGAAAATAATTTATTCTGATTATTTATGGAACAGCTGTAGTGTGGTAGACACCAAAATGATGAGACAGCCCTTGCTCTTGAGGAACTCTCTTACTAGATGGGTAAGAATGATTGTCATGGGGCATATGAATGGTGGTAAATCAGTGGGGCCATAACAAGAATGACCAGCTTGGGAAGACAGGAAGCAGAAGGTCAGGTTCTTTTCTATGACTTTTTTTTTTTTTTAAATATTTTATTTATTTCTAGGAGAGAGAGAGAGACAGCGTGAGCAGGAGAGGGTCAGAGAGAGAGGGAGTCACAGACTGAAACAGGCTCCAGGCTCTGAGCTGGCAGTCAGCACAGAGCCCGACGCGGGGCTCGAACCCATGAACCGCGAGATCATGACCTAAGCGAAAGTCGGACGCTTAACCGACTAAGCCACCCAGGCGCCCCTTTTCTATGACTTTTTAAGAAGAAATGTATATATTGGTCTGGATTGTGAGCTCATTTTCAGAAGGTCATTATCTATGGAATCTTTTGTAGGTTTAAGGGCACATCTCCCAGAAAGGATTAGCATTTGCTTCTGTGTGGTTCTTAAAGGTTAGACCATGTAGACTTCTCTTCTGGTAATTTGTTGGCTTAAAGTTCCTGGACTGATAATGTATATTCAAACCTCAAACCTGCGTAAGATACATGTCCAGAGCTATGAAATCTCTGGAGAAACTTTGTTTCCTTCACTTAAAACCAAGATAGACATTTTTCCTTGTGCTAATGGGAGAATATTTTATTTAGTCCTTTAAGTTTCCCCATGGTATCTGGGGATTTCTAACCAGTCCCCTGACTTAAAAGTCTCACAGTTTGTTTCCTGCTCCAGCAGGGGTATTAAAACCCAGGCTTCAGGTGACAGAGAAGTAGGCGGATCCTGGGCTGTCCTTGTCCCTCAAACATAGCTCTATTGAGGTCTAATCATTTGGAACATACAGGAAATCAATCTGTGGACTGTCAGAAGGATCACCACAGTGGGAAGGAGATAGCGCGGCTGGTGTGAGGTTTGTGGAAGTGAATTGGAGGAGATAAAAACAGCAGTGCTGCAAAGGGGGAGGGAACCTATCCACAGAGAGACAAAAGTGAGAAAGAGAGAGGGGTTGAGAGAGTGCGGCATCAGGTTCATACAAAAGGGAAACCTCTGGATCATGGACTGTGGAGAGAGAAGTACTGAGTGTCACAGGTTTTTTGTTTTGTTTTTTTCAAACGGCATTTAGAGCTCAAACTCTGAGGTTTTGGAAGTGTGCGACTTTGTCTGGAGCAGAGTTGTGGTGTGCGCTTCTGGGGAGAGGGAGGGAGCTGGCCCAGGAGTACATAGCATGGTGTGGGGATCTCCCGGGCACACTGGGAGAGAACATTCTCCTTTGTGGAGTACTTCTGGAAAAGGGTATTTTGCGTGTCCAAGGACAAAAGACCGTGTAGGTGCCAACAAAAGGCCTTTCGTTGGCAGGGGACAAGGCCTATGACCTTTTTGCTGCTTTTAGAGGTGCTACACCATAGATCCCTTGCACCATGCAGGCATGGGACTGTTTTTCAGGAACAGAGAACTTCAAACACAGCAAGAAGAGGCTCTACTCAAGAGATAGTCTGTGCAGTGCCAGGTCCTTTAAGACTTTGGTTTTGAATCCCAGGTGTGCTCCAAAGAAAAAATGCAGGAAAGCTATGGTGCTGAGCAAACTGACTGCCCTCACTATTCTAGGAGGGCTGCCTGAACAGTTGTGGGTGTGAGATCCCCTGTCTGGGAATGAGAGATTGGGGTAGTGTCATTTTCCCCTCAACATCAACACGGTGGGACTTGAGGGAGCAGCGCAGTGGCCTCCAGTGGAGGTGGGACCCCCTTATATCAAACCCTGCCCCTCTGTCCCTGCCAACTCATTAATTACTGGGGCCCGATTGACTCTGAGCCCACAGTGGGCTTCTCCTCCAGAAGACCAGCACAGCCAGCACCCCACATGCACCAAGTGTACTGAAAATCAAGTGCTTCAAACGACATCTGCAGTTCTGGTGGTAATAGGACCAGGATTACCTTTTTCCTGAACTTTTTTCCTTCTTTTTTTTTCTTTTGGAATCAGGTTCATAGCTTCTTGTTGTTGTTGCTGTTGTTTTTTCCTTTCCTTTTCTCTTTTTATGGCTCAGTCTTCTTTTTTTCTTTTCTTTTTCTTTGAAGTCAGGCTCATAGTTTTTTGATTCTCTGAGTTTTTTTGTTTTTGTTTCTTTTCCTTTTCTCTTTTTTTGGGATCTGGCTTTCCCCCCTTTTTTTCCAGGTGTATTTTTTTTTTTTTTTTTACAAATAGTTTAGTGTCAAGTTGGTTTCCATATAACACCCAGTGCTCATCCCCACAAGTGCCCCTCTCCGTGCCCATCCCCCCTCACATCCATCAGTCCTCAGTTTGTTTCTCAGCATTCAAGAGTCTCTGATGGTTTGCCTTTCCCCCTTTCCCCCACCATTTCCCCCCTTCTTCTCCCCCATGGTCCTCGGTTAAGTTCCTCCTAATCCTCCTATACATGCAAACATATGATATTTGTCCTTCTCTGCCTGACTTATTTCACTCAGCATAACACCCTCAAGGTCCGTCCATGTTGCTACACATGGCCAGATTTCATT